ATCGCCGGAGCCCAGCAGGTCGAGGCTGCAGTGGCCGGGAGCGGCCACTGCACTCCAGTCTGGGCGACAGAGTTGAGACTCCAACTCAAAAAAAAGAAAAAAGAAAGTATAGTTAATAAAAATAACAAAGCTACCATGAAGATAATGTTGAAGACAGAATGAAATAGCACACATGAAAGAGCTTTACAAGTTGAGAATCATTGTAAGAAGTCAACAGTCTGTCTGGGAGCAGTGGCTCACACCTACAATCCCAGCACTTTGGGAGGCCAAGGTGAGATTGCCTGAGCCCATGATTTCAAGACCAATCAGGGTAACTTTGTGAGACCTCATCTCTACAAGTAGCTCCAGTTACTTGGAAGGCTGAGGCGGAAGATCACCTGAGCCCAGCAGGTGGAAGCTGCGGTGGCTGTGAGCGTGACGCTGCACTCCAGCCTGGGAGACAGAGTGAGACTCCAACTAAAAAAAAAAAAAAAAGTTAACAGTCTTAATGAAAAGAATGGAATTCAGGTTGTGACAAAGGTCAGCTAGAGAAAAATCCAGGTTGCCCGAAGGTTAGCAGTAAGAGTCTCAGGAGATTTGGAGGGGCACCGAACAAGAAGTTCAGGAAACTGGAGTTAGAAGTCACTTTAGCGACCACTAGAGCAAGTGCCACGCTCTCCTGCTAACAGTCTCTTCAAGGTGAGGGCCTCCAGGAGGAAGGGGAAAGAGGGAAATGCTGAGGACACGATGCCCTTTGGTTGGACAAGTGGGTGACAAGGTCATTTGTAAACAGGCCTAATAACGTTAGACCTGCTTTAGCGTTAGCCCACAGCTTTCAGAAGCATCTGAGATAGCTTGTGATATGGAGATACATTAAACAGGAAAACAACACAAGAATAAAAACCAAAACAGGGAACAGAGAGAGAAACACTGATTTAGTCACCAAGTTCCTATTTTCGTATTTTCACATGATCTTGGTCATTCCAAATAAAGGTTTCGTCTCTTCATTTTACAGCAGAGATATTGGCTGGGTGGGTTTGAGCCAGCTGCCAAGGTCCCATGACACGTACACATAAAAGCCAGACTTAACATCGAGAGATAAAGTACATCAGAACTGAAGGCTGGGGCCACTACAAATAGTTAAGTCTCATACTGTGCTCTGAGCTTTCTGGCAACCAAGCCAAGAATAGGAAAATAAAAATTTACATGGCTCTTTTCAAAAATTAAGAAAAAAATTTTTTTGTGATAAAGTACTAGTTTATCAAGAGACTCAAACTTCTTCCTGATTCTTATTTTCAGAGCAATTTCTTGCAATGGTCTTTAGACAACATATATGGGGCAGAATAATGGACAATAGCTTCCTGGATTCCTTTTATCAGCAAGACAGGAATGTTCCCCAAATGATGCCACTTAAAGAGATGAGAACTGGTCTGGTGCGTTGGCTCAAGCCTATGATTCCAGCACTTTGGGAAGCCGAGGCAAGAGGATTACCTAAGCCCACAGGTTCGAGACCAGCCCGGGCAACTTGGCGAGACCTCATCTTTATAATAAATAAAAAATTAGCCAGGTGTGGTAGCGTACACCTGTAGTTCTGGCTACTTGAAAGGCTGAGGTGGAAGGATCACCTGAGCCCAGAAGGTGGAGGCTGCAGTGGCTGTGAGCGTGCCACTGCACTCCAGCCTGAGTGACAGAGTGAGACTCCAACCCCACCCCCCGAAAAAAGAGATGAGAACTGGTCATGGTTCTATACAGACAAATCCTGGGATCTGGAGGAATACGATTCGGACCCCTAGGAATTCACCCACTTCCCCCCAACCTTGGCCTGAGCATCACCTCTGGCTGCCTTGTGAAGAATGGACTGTGGGAGGTGTGAGAAGGATCATGGAGACAAACACTAGACATCTAGAATTCAAAGCACTTACTTTGAGTGATATATCCACAAGAAAGAGCCTTCTGGGCTAAAAGCAAATGAGAAAGAAAAACATATCATGTTACTTTTAATTCTGAGAAAGGCTATTATATAATCATTACCGTGTGCCCAGGGCTGAGCTGAGAGCCTGGGTTTCAGCTATTTGGAAGTTTCCACCTTCCTCTGAAACATAACCAGTGACATCAGGAGATTGTGAATTTTCACTTGTAGGAACACTGGGATCTCAAGGGAAAGGAGGTCTCTGGAGAATCTCAAATTGTGGTGTTTTTGCTTTTGTTTTCCATGTTGGAGTCTCACTCTGTCATCCAGGCTGGAGTTCAGTGACACAGTCACAGCTCACTGCAGCCTTGACCTCCTGGACTCAGGTGATCCTTCCAGCTCAGCCTCCTGAGTAGCTGGGAATACAGACACGGGCCACCATGCCCGGATAATTTTTTTATTTTTTGTAGAGTCCTGGTCTCGCTATGTTACCCAGACTAGTCTCGAACTCCGGCTCAATCAGTTCTCTGGCCTCGGCCTCCCAAAGTGCTGGGACTGCAAGACTGAGTCACTGCACCTGGCCACAGTTTTGTTTTTTGTTTTTTTTAAAGAAGATAGAGAGATATTGGTGAGAATAGAGGCTCCACTGATGGGCCCTCTCCTGCCACCTACTCAGTCCCTGGTGATGAAGATGCCTTGGAGGGTGGAAACATTGTGGTCCAACCATCCCTCACCCAGAACTTATCATCTTCTAAAAAACCATCCCGAGTCTAATGCCACTCCAGCTGACAGCCTTCTGTGGCGCACCATCTCTTCAACTAATGAAGGCAGTGAGATGGTCTTAAAACACATGGAGGTGCTGCAACCCAACAATCAGAACCCCGCCTGGCACTCAGGATGGAGTTGTGGATCCAGGTCCACCAGCTCGTCTTTAACAAGGCTATCTTCTTACCCTCCTATCCTCCTGTTCCCAAATCCCTCAACATCGCAATGACCACAACCATACCAACCTGCAGTGGCATTTGAACACGTATTCATCCTTCGAGGCTCAGCTCGAAGGCTCATTCTTCTATGCCTTCCATGATACAGTCCTAGCATGGTGCCCAGAACACAGTAGGTGCTCAATAAATACTTGTGAGCGAATGCAAAAATGGATCCCCCTCCAGGCCAAACATCACCCTTGCCTCCTTGAACTCTCCTGGCCCTCTCGGCTACCTCGGATAGCCTTCAAATACTTTGTATCATGAGTTGTTTATACGGACATCTTACTGCCCCATCTAGATCATAACACCTTGCGGGGGTTGAGCCCATGTAGCTCACACTGTCTCCTTCATAGTTCTCAGCACAGACAAGTAGCTCAAGAAGGAGTCCAGGAAAGAACATGGACACTGATTCACTATTAGGTCACTTCGTCTATTTGGTCTCCGTTTTGTCACTTGAAAAACAGTGCCCCCAAGGCCAGGCGCTTTGGCTCAAGCCTGTAATCCCAGTGCACCAGAGTCCTGAAGCCAGGTTGGAAGGCTGAGGCGAGAGAATTGCCTGAGCTGTGGGGTTGAGACCAACCTAGGCATGGTGAGACCTCGTCTCTACAATAAAAAATCAAAAAATTAGCCAGTCGTGGTAGCACATGCCTGTAGTTCCAGCTACTTGGAAGGCTGAGGCAGAAGGATACCTGGAGCCCAGCGGGTTGATGCTGGGGTGGCCGTGACCATGACATTGCACTCCAGCCTGGGCAATGGAGTAAGACTCCAACAAAAGGAGTCTGAGAGCCGGGCTCGGTGGCTCAGCCTGTAATCCCAGCACTTTGGGAGGCTGAGGTGAGTGGATTGCCTGAACCCGCGGGTTCGAGACCCGCCTGGGCAGCGAGACCTCATCTCTACAATAAATCAAAAAATCAGCTGGGAGTGGTAGCACATGCCTGTAGTTCCAGCTACCTGGAAGGCTGAGGCGGAAGGATCGCTGGAGCCCAGCAGGTTGAGGCTGCGGTGGCCGGGAGCGGCCACTGCACTCCAGTCTGGGTGACAGAGTGAGACTCCAACTCAAAAAAAAAACAAAAAAAAACAAAAAGGAGTCTGAGGGGAACTGAGGACACTAACCTTGGACAGGTGGGCAGTACTGAACTAAAAAAGGCTTTCAAAACAACAAAGTGAAATACATCAACCAATTAGTAAATAGAACAAGTGTCAGTAAAGCATCCTGAAAGAATAGCACTCAGGACAGCATTTGATTTGAGACTGGATAAAAATAAAAATTTTAAAACCTTAGAATTTTAAAGCTAAAGGAAACCTTCAAAGTCATAATGAAACAAAAACATAATGAAAAGAAAAAGGAAGAAAAACAGTGCTCCCAACTAAAGTTGTGTAGTGGGTCAGAGAATGAACGGTCTTCAGACAGTCAGGAACCTAAATCTACCTGAAAATGTAACCTGGAAGATTAACATTTAACATTTTTTGAGACTCTGTCCTCACCTAGACACTCGGGGGTCATGCCCATTTTGTAGGCCTATTGTAAGGAGAATTGGAGCTAGTGCAGGCCGGATGCGGTAGCTCAAACCTGTTAATCCCAGCACTTTGGGAGGCCGAAGTGAGAGGACTGCTTGAGCCCAGGAGATCAGCCTGGGCAACATAGTGAGACCTTATCTCTACAACAAAATCAAAAACTTAGCCAGGCATGGAGGTGAGCAACCATAGTCCCAGCTACTTGGAAGGCTGAGACGGGAGGATCACCTGAGCCCAGGAGGTTGAGACTGTGGTGAGCCATGATCATGCCACTGCACTCCAGCATGGGTGACAGAGTGAGACTTACCCCCCAGCTAGGAAAAAAAAAAAAAACAGAATTGGAGGTAGTACACAGCATGGGTCCTGTCACATGCAAACATTCAATGGCTAGTACCTGCTGTCTTCACAACACCAGCATTATTTCATTATGACTTTGAAGGTTTCCTTTAGCTTTAAAATTCTAAGGTTTTTTAATTTTAATTTTTATCCAGCCTCAAATCAAATGCTGCCCTGAGTGCCGTTCTTTCAGGATGCTATACTGACAATTGCTCTATTTACTAATTGGTTGGTGCATTTAACTTTGTTGTTTTGAAAGCCTTTTTAGTTCAGTGCTGCCCACCTGTCCAAGGTTAGTGTCCTCAGCTCCCCTCAAACCATCACATGGCCAGTTTGTAAAGTGGCAAAAGATCTCCTTCCTTTGAAGACTTTTGCAGATGGTCAGGGGGATTCTGCACATTAGAGAATGATGTGGCCAGAGTCCGGGAGCCAGGTTGTGGCCCTGAAGAGCGGCCAGAACCTGTTCTGGCCACTGTGCAGAGAAAGTGTGCCCAGCACTGAAAAATAACTCTCTTTCCAAGAGGCCAGTGCCAACATGCACATTGGAGCCCTTGGCTCCCTTATTTGAATTTTGTGAACCATTCCAATTATGGAAGGACAACTATAGCGACAATTCAAAACACCAAAGTCATCTAATCAGCTGTTCCAACTCAGAACTTGAAGGTTATCCAAACAAATGCTCCAACTCCAGGCAAGAACCCCAAAGGGATCTTGTTCTCCTGCTGGCTGCTAGAGATCTTCCTTTTAGTTGCCAAAACCTCCCCATCCTGCTTTGCCCTCTGGAGCAAGGGACGGTGATGATGATGACTGTTACGAAGTTAATGTTTGTATCTCCCCAAAATTCATATTTGGAAGCCCTGCTCCCTGTGTTATGGTATTTGGAGGTGGGGCCTTTGGGAAGTCATTAGGTTTAGATGAGATTCTGAGGGTGCCCCCCCATGATGGAATTAATGCTCTTAGAAGAAGAGGAAGAGACTGACCATAGCATCATATGGGGATACGGGGTGGGGGGGGAGAGTGGGGAGGAGCTGGGGACGGTGGCCATCAGCCTATCAAGAAGAGTCCTCACTGGGGAACTAAATGGGATGGCACCTTTTTCTTGTTCTCCACAGCCTCTAGAGCTGTGAGGAATGAATTCCTTTTGTTTATGCCACCTAGTTGGTGGTATTTTGATATAACGGCCTGAGCTGACAATGGTGATAATGACAACGATGATGACAACAGCTAGGATTTATTGAATCTTTATTAAGTCTTAGCCATTGCCCTAACACAATCCAACAACCTGCGAAGGCAGGCACTATTATTATCCCCATTTTTTTGTTGTTGTTTCTGAATTGGAGTCTCACTCCTTTGCCCAGGTTGGAGCGCAGTAGCACGCTCGTGGCCACCGCAGCGTCGACCTGCTGGGCTTCAGCTATCCTTTCGCCTCAGCCTTCCAAGGAGTCCGAACTACAGGCATGCACTACCACACCCGGCTAATTTTTTTTTTATTGTAGAGACGAGGTCTTGCTAAGTTGCCCGGGCTGGTCTCAAACCCGCCGGCTCAGGCAATCCACTCACCTCGCCCTCCCAAAGTGCTGGGATTACAGGCTGAGCCACCGAGCCTGGCCTAACCTCATTTTTAAAGATAGAAAAAAACTAAAGAACAGAGTGGCTGAGTAACTTGCCCAAGGTCACAGAGGAGGCACAAGGGAGCCCCTGGGTCTCCATGTGCAATTCTGAGTCACCTCTTCTTTGGAATAAATACCCTCAGTTTCTTCAATTCAAAAGACCTAGTTTCCAGACTAACTTGATCACACTTTAGCTTGTCATGTTTTTCTTAAAATAAGTGGTTCAGAATGAAACAAAAGAACGTTCCAGAGGTGGACAGATCTGTGCGGCACCCCAGAGACTAATGGCTCCTGTATTCTGGAGACTCTTCCTGCTGTCGATACACATAAAGGTATAGCTCCTTTTTTTTAGTAGCCAGGATAGTCCTGGTAGCTCATCAAATCTCAGAATTTAAGAACTAAAAGAGATATTCAAATGTTAATCCATGCCACCAACTTTAACTTGGGGGGTGGGGATCACTGAAACACTTCACCATATTAATAGTGGCTGGGTGCGGTGACTCACACCTATAATCCCAGCACTTTGGGAGGTTAAGGGCAGAAGATTGCTTGAGGCCAGGAATTTGAGACCAGGAGTTGAGCCTGGGCAACATAGCGAGACTGTCTCTACAGAAAACTAAAAAAATCGCTGGATGTGGTAGCGTGCACCTGTAATCCCAGCTACTTGGGAGGCTGAGGAAGGATTGTCTGAGCCCAAGATGGCGAAGGTGTGGTGAACCATGATCATGCCACTGCACTCCAGCCTGGGAGACAGAGTGAAACACTGACTCAAAAAAAAAAAAAAAAAACGGAAAAGAAAGAAAATGTTAATGGTGCCGAGATAGCTCTGTACAACTCAGTTGTATAGCAGACATCTTGAGTCTTAAGGCCGAGCTCTTCCAATGTCTCTTGGGCTGAAGACATCGTGCCTTTCTGTAGCTGCTTGTGAAGGCCACTTTCTGTCAGAAGCCTCTCCAGCTGGAATCTCCGAGGCATTGTAGTTTCAAAAAGCACAGGGGCAGCTCACATATTTGGGGTGAATCCACAGATGAATTTGAAACTCAACTATTTAATTCATTTTGCTGTCCAGAGTTTTTAAAAAAAGTCAAAAAACACCCAAAAGTTTTAGCCAGGCACAAATGACTCACCAGCAACTCAGTGTGTGCTTTATAGCAAAAGTCAACAACTTAAGTTGCTCCTTTAAACTCTGCAATTATCTTAGGATTGCAAAATTCAGGGTGAACTTCTCATGGAATTCCTGTCTGAAATTTCTTAAGGTAACTTCCATATCTGATTACACAGATTATTTACAATTACATTTTGGGCTTCATTTGACCTCGTTTTCCCTGGATCTAGCCTCACAGTACAAAAATCAAGATATTAGGAAGACAGCAGGAAGGAAGATAAACATTTTGTCAGATGTTACTTGGGATATCCAATGCTTTTTTTTTTTGAGTTAGAGTCTCACTCTGTCGCTCAAGCTGGAGTGCAGTGGCACACTCCCGGCCACCACAGCCTCAACCTGCTGGGCTCAGGAAATCCTTCTGCCTCAGCCTTCCAAGTAGCTGGAACTACAGGTATGCACCACCATGCCCAGTTAATTTTTTGATTTATTGTAAAGACAAGGTCTAACCAAGTTGCCCAGGCTGGTCTTGAACCCATGGGTTCAGGCAATCCTCTCACCTCGGCCTCCCAAAGTGCTAGAATTATAGGTATGGGCCACTATGCCCAGCCTGTCCAATGCTTAAATGACAGTCCCAGGCTTGGGGATTCAGGAAGGGTGGAATCCCTTATTTAAGGTTTTAATGAATCCTAATCTCAGTTCAAGCTGCTGACTTGGCTGATACTAACAGAACAGAATCAGAGCAGTATTTTCACCAACATCATTGCATCATGTTTCATAATTACCTGTTGATATATTCCCAAAACACAACAATCACAGTCGAGACAACCAGCATTGACAGAATCACTTTTCCTTTGATATTCATTATTTTCTCCTGGGAAGAAAGAAGAAGGGGGAAAGTAGATTATATCAATGAAATCCAGAGCAAGACAGGGTTTTTGTTTTTGTTTTTTGAGTCGGAGTCTTGCTCTGTCGCCCAGACTGGAGTGCAGTGAGCGCTCTCGGCCACCGCAGCCTCGACCTGCTGGGCTCCGGCGATCCTTCCGCCTCAGCCTTCCAAGTAGCCAGAATTACAGGCACGCGCTTCCACGCCTGGCTGACTTTTTGATTTATTGTAGAGATGAGGTCTCGTCAAGTTGCCCAGGCAGGTCTCGAACCGTGGGCTCAGGCAATCCACTCACCTCAGCCTCCC